GCAGGGAAATAATCTCTGAGTGGGGGGGGGGGAGGGAAACAATTTCTGAGTGGGGGGGAGGGGAGACAGGGAAACAATCTCTGAGTGGGGGGGGCTCTGAGGGGGGGGGGGGGGGGGGGGCCAGGTAATCTCTGAGTGTGGGGGGGGGGAAACAGGGAAATAATCTCTGAGTGGGGGGGAGGGGAGGGGAAACAGGGAAACAACTCTGAGTGGGGGGGGGGGGGGAAACAGGGAAACAATCTCTGAGTGGGGGGGGGGGGGGGGAGACAGGGAAACAATCTCTGAGTGGGGGGGGGGGCAGGGAAACATGGAAACAATCTCTGAGTGGGGGGGGGGGAAACAGGGAAACATGGAAACAATCTCTGAGTGGGGGGGGGGGGGGGGGGAAACATGGAAACAATCTCTCGTGGCTGTCAGTGACACCGCGGTCTTTGTGCGGCACGCTCCCAGGGTACTATGGGCCCCGCAGAAGGAGGGCCGGTTCTGTGGCCGCCATACTTGTGGTGTGAAACAATCTCGCTGGTTCGCTGGGGCTGGTTCGTCCGCCGATACTTGGCTGGTCGTCTGAGCTGGTTTCGTCACCGCGCTGGTTTCGTCCTCGCTGGTTCGTCTCCTCGCTGGTTCGTCCTCGCTGGTTCGTCTCTCGCTGGTTCGTCTCTCGCTGGTTCGTCTCTCGCTGGTTCGTCTCTCGCTGGTTCGTCCCTCGCTGGTTCGTCTCTCGCTGGTTCGTCTCTCGCTGGTTCGTCTCTCGCTGGTTCGTCTCTCGCTGGTTCGTCCCTCGCTGGTTCGTCCCTCGCTGGTTCGTCCCTCGCTGGTTCGTCTCTCGCTGGTTCGTCTCTCGCTGGTTCGTCTCGCTGGTTCGTCCTCGCTGGTTCGTCCCTCGCTGGTTCGTCCCTCGCTGGTTGTCCCTCGCTGGTTCGTCCCTCGCTGGTTCGTCTCTCGCTGGTTCGTCGTCTCGCTGGTTCGTCTCTCGCTGGTTCGTCCCTCGCTGGTTCGTCCCTCGCTGGTTCGTCCCTCGCTGGTTCGTCCCTCGCTGGTTCGTGGTTCGTCTCGCTGGTTCGTCCCTCGCTGGTTGGTTCGTCCCTCGCTGGTTCGTCCCTCGCTGGTTCGTCCCTCGCTGGTTCGTCCCTCGCTGGTTCGTCCCGCTGGTTCGTCCCTCGCTGGTTCGTCCCTCGCTGGTTCGTCCCTCGCTGGTTCGTCCTCGCTGGTTCGTCCTCGCTGGTTCGTCCCTCGCTGGTTCGTCCCTCGCTGGTTCGTCTCTCGCTGGTTCGTCTCTCGCTGGTTCGTCCCTCGCTGGTTCGTCTCTCGCTGGTTCGTCTCTCGCTGGTTCGTCCCTCGCTGGTTCGTCCCTCGCTGGTTCGTCTCTCGCTGGTTCGTCTCTCGCTGGTTCGTCCCTCGCTGGTTCGTCCCTCGCTGGTTCGTCTCTCGCTGGTTCGTCTCTCGCTGGTTCGCGTCTGCGTAAGGTCGCGTGTTTCAGTCCCCTCGGCTGGTGCTGTCTGCGATGTCCGTTTGCGGAAGGCGTGTATTTGCGAAAGGAACTTTTAATGCGGAGGCCCTCGTGGTATGAGATCCCTCAGGGAGAGATCATATCTCTGTTCTGTTTCCTTTGGATAACTATTCTATATATTTCTATTTGATACAAAACATAACGGGCTCAATTTGGACGTGGGATTCCTCACTCATTATCCAACAGTTTTACCACCCCCCTCTGTGACTGTTGTCCCATCCCCCCCCCCCAGTCTTTTGCTTGTGCTCTGTCTTCTCTCTAGTCTAATCCTAGTTTTAGAACCATTGCTGTGTACATTGGTTTGTGAAGTAGTATGGCTCAGACCCTGAAGAAGGGGACAGACCCCGAAAGCTTGTCCCAAAAATTGTATGTTAGTGCAAATAAAAAAAGTGTCCCAGACAGGACCGGACTCCGTTGTTTCTGCAGCAAGTGCACTAATACGGCTACAATCACCTTTTTGCTATCAGGAGACCCCAAAAATCTGCCTCCTGTGATCCTCCTATGATGTTACTCTTGAGACATCTCCTCCGTGTGCCCCCCTGAAGCTAGTTTCACTTTGCTATTGGACTTCAGATCGAAATTCTTTCATCTGCCCACCCCTTGCCCAGTGAGAATGCTCTTCTGAGATGCTGGGGCACTCTCATTGGTGAGTTGTGGGGGGCGGGGCATTCTGTATTAAAGCGGACCTGTCCTGGGTTTATTTGCACGCCAACGGAGCTCATACATATACAAAAAAAGGCTTTTTTTTCCTGCTAGAACCCCCTCTTTCTATATACGGATATGATATCCTCCTATATAGAGCAGACGACTCGCTGGCCTCATGAAGTTCCTCACCTTTTGCTGCCTCTAGCGACATGACCAAGTGTATGTCCAGGTCCTACCAGGCAGGGATCTGTGGCAGTTTAATAAACTGAAAACTGCCGCCATCCCTTTGTTAACCATTTCAATACCGGGCAATTTTACCCCCTTCCTGCCCAGGCCACTTTTCAGGTCTCGGCGCTCTCACACTTTGAATGACAATTGCGCGGTCATACAACATTGTACCCAAACTAAAAACTTTATCATTTTCTTCAGACAGCTAGATATTTCTTTTGGTGGTATTTATCATCACTGGGGTTTTTATTTTTTGCTAAATTTAACAAAAAAAGACCAAAAAATTTGAAAAAAAAAAAAGTTTTTCTTTGTTTCTGTTATAAAAGGTTTGCAAATAAATAATTGTTCTTCATAAATTTAGGCCGAGATGTATTCTGCTCCCATGTCTTTGGTGAAAATGACCCAAATTAGGATGTATTATTTTAGTTTGTAGGAAAGTTATAGAGTTCACAAACTATGGTATAGATCTGATTATTGATCAATCCTGAAGTACTGACAGCCAATCTAATTTCTTGAGGTCCAAGAATGTCAGAATAGTACAGATATCCCCCAAATGACAAACAGATATCCCCCAAATGGACAGATATTCCCCCAAAAGGCCCCCCCCAACCGCCAAATGTACAGGACAGATATCCCCCAAATGACAGGACAAGATATCCCCCCAAATGTCAGGACAGTACAGATATCCCCCCAAATGTCAGGACGGTACAGGTCACAGGTACAGATATCCCCCAAATGTCAGGACGGTACAGATATCCCCCAAATGTCAGAACGGTACAGATATCCCCCAAATGTCAGAACAGTACAGTATCCCCCAAATGACAGGATATCCCCCAAATGTCAGGACAGTACAGATATCCCCAAAATGTCAGGACGGTACAGATATCCCCCAAATGTCAGGACGGTACAGATATCCCCCAAATGTCAGGACGGTACAGAGATCCCCCAAATGTCAGGACAGGACAGATATCCCCCAAATGTCAGGACAGTACAGGATCCCCCAAATGTCAGGACAGGACAGATATCCCCCAAATGTCAGGACAGTACAGATATCCCCCAAATGTCAGGACAGTACAGATATCCCCCAAATGTCAGGACAGGACAGATATCCCCCAAATGTCAGGACAGTACAGATATCCCCCAAATGTCAGGACGGTACAGATATCCCCCAAATGTCAGGAGGGTACAGATATCCCCAAATGTCAGGAGGGTACAGATATCCCCCAAATGTCAGGAGGGTACAGACATCCCCCAAATGTCAGGACAGTACAGATATCCCCCAAATGACCCCTTTTTGCAGAGTAGACAGTCCGACGTACTTCATAAGAGGCATGGCGAGTTTTTTGAAGTTGTATTTTTTTTTGTCATAATTTTTTGGAAAATGAAAAAATAAAAAAAATTATTTTCACTATTTTTTTTTTTACATCCTGTCACCAGTGCAGTGCAGTGTCATCATATAACTGGCATGGCGGTGATCAGGGACACTGACTGGGTGACAGTATGAAAAAAAAAAATATATATATATTTTTATTATTATTATGATTTTTTTAAGATTTTTTTAAGATTTTTTTTTCATATTTCACTATGACCAAAGTAGTACAATGTTACCATAGTAATATCGTACTACTTTGGGGAAGTGATCAGTATTTTTTTTTTTTTTTTTTTTTTTTTTACACAATTTGCTTATAGCAAAGAATTACTTTGTTATAAGCAAGCATTTACCAGAATGAAATCGATTCATTCAGGGTTTTTTTTTTTTTGTGCTTAGCTGTGATTTGGCCACAGCTAATCACATGACATGTGCATGTGACCTGCTGTGACCATTCACAGCTAGGCACTAGTATACAATGGATGGCATGAATGAAGCCATCCATTGTATACAACTGTCGTGACCTGCTGTGATTGGTCACAGCAGGTCACATGGTATCGGCAACGGGGCCAATACTCAGATCTGTCATCGGCCGTGTCCGAGGTACACATCCGGTGACAGATCGCGTCGCTCTGCAGGAGCGCAATCTGGCGCATGTGCGGGAGGATGCCATATGGCGCACACCCAGAACGCTGATGACATTTGCCGCCTGCCATTCGGCCATAGGGCGGGTGGCAAATGGTTAATAGCAGCAGCTCTTCATGGTTCCTTCCATTTTTAGACAGCAGAAGACCATCGCTGGCCTCATGAAGTTCCTGACCTTTTGCTGCCTCTAGTTTAGGGCGATGTGACCAAGTGTATGTCCAGGTCCAGGTCTGCGGCAGTTTCCTATCCTGAAAACGGCCGCCATCCCTTCATTAATAGCAGCAGCTCTGCATGGTACTCTCCTATATACGGCAGAAGACCATTGCTGGCCTCATGAAGTTCCTCACCCTTTGCTGCCTCTAGTTTAGGGCGATGTGACCTAAGGTAGGAGCAGACCCTGAATCCGTTTCTAATTCACCCTCAAACATAAGCTGGCACGGGTGGCGCACTATCTGCTTAGTTACTGTGGTGGGCGCCACAAATGCCAGTTTACTGCGCCATTAAAATGTACGCCACTGTTATCCCCCCCCATAGGGTTTATGGTTGAGACTTTATTAAGACGCAGGTCTAACATTCTTCTCTGTTTCCACCCTCTATCAGGCAGACATGGCGGAGTATAAAATCCGGGACTACCGAGATTCGGACTATGAGGTGGTTCGGGAGCTCATCTCTCACGGCATGAGCGAATACGTTCCCAGCGTCTGCACCCATGTCCTCAAACTTCCCTGGGTCCTCTTCGTCCTGACCTGCATCTTTCTCATGCTGCTCTGCAGCTCCAAATCCTTCATCTTACCCTTCATGGCCGTCACCCTGCTGCTGGCGTTGGGCCGCCAAGTCCTCGGCTACTGCTGGTCCTTGTACATAGACCACTGCCTGCAAGAGGACCTGCAGGACATCCGGAAGACCTACATGGAGGGTGAGGGCTCCCACTTCTGGGTGGTAGACGCTGAGGACAGTATCGTAGGGACAGTTGCCGCGTTGCCTTCAGAGGAGAACGTCAAGGAGTTGCTCCTGAAGAGAATGTCGGTGAGAAAAGACTTCAGAGGGCTCGGGATTGCCAAAGCCTTGTCACGGGAGGTTATCAGCTTTGCCAGGCAAAGAGGCTACAAGGCCGTCGTCCTCAACACGATGGTGGTCCAGGTGGAGGCCAAGAAGATGTATGAGAGCGTAGGCTTCAAAAAATACCTGGAATACGTCATGCCCACCTTATATGGGAAGCTGATTAACTTCAAAATCTCCAAGTATCGCTATGACATCTTCCCAGCCAGCTAGAGACAGCTAGAGACCAAGGGATGACCAAGGACTATTCTTACCCGTAACTCAGGGGACCGGCAACCGCTACGATCACAGTCTTACCAACCGCTATGATCACAGTCTTACCAACCCCAGGCAGTTGGTCACCATGCCAGGGTTTGACTCATGGACCATATTGTCCTTGCTTGCCAGATTATTAAGTAGATCGGTCATATCTCCGGGACACCCAACAAGTAAAAGGGCTGCCAAGGCTCACGTATTCCTTATCTCTCTACTCATTCCAGGTCAGCGACTCAGGAGGCATTGAAGTCAAATGATCTGAGGGACAGCCAGGGAACTAGCATTCTCAAAACCGGTCCTGCGATGGCAGCTCCCATTCATTTCTTATAACGGTCTAGCTTTCATTTTTCAAAAGAAGTTAAAGTGAAATTTCAGCCTAACCAATATTAAAATGCCCCCCCCCCCCCCCGCACTCCTAACTAGCCTGTGCGGGAAAGACAAATTTACTTAATTTTCTGCTGCTCCGGTCTGGTCACATGATCCGGATCCCCTGCAGCTGCTGAGGAGCGGAGGGAGCGCCGACAACAGCTGGGACATGGGAGCCTATGGTTACCGGCTCCCCTGCAGCCTCTGCTTACTGACATGGGAGATCATGTGACAAAACTGGAGAGGGCTAAACTTAGGAAAGTATATACAGAGAGAAGCTATACCTGCCTCTCCCCTCTGCTTCCCATTCACAGAAGCCTTTGTATTAGGTGAATAAGTTCACCTAATACAAAGGCTTCTGCGAATGGGCAGAAGGAGGGTAGGGGAGGTGCGGGTATAGTCCCAAGAGTAACAAAAACCATCCTGTATATCTCAACTTCTAGTTCTGGTGCTGGAGATCCAGCAACCCCCCCCCCCCCCACACTATGGCGCCCCCCACTACTGTGTGCTAGGTCAGTTGGGGGTGCACTTCACACTGTTGGAGGGTGTGACAGAACCCACATCTGGAGATGAGAGCAGATGTTTGTAAATTCTGTGCTCCGGGGGTGTCCCATTAAAAGTTTAAGTGAAGATATGGCAGGCAGGGACAACATGAGCCAGACTGCAGGGACATCCGGCACGGTTCTTTTCTCTGAATTTTGCTACTCCTCTGAATGTTTCCACTATGACGTCTCTCCATAACTAGCTGTATATAGAGATATATCTTTGCTTCCTTTTTTTTTTTAAGATGCCTCTATTCTGTGATTAAAAACTTTGAACATGCCGTGTCTGATACGTGTGCTCAGTGTGGAGAAAAGATCTGCCAATTTGGCATCGATCCCTTGCTCATCGATCAGTCCTGACTGTCTGATGTCCTCCCCACAGTCCTGTGGTCAGCCGTACACATCAGGGCTGCGAATATCTCAGTGAGGATACAAAGATAAATCGATGAGTGTAAGAACAGTCGCAGCGATCCGAGTTGGTCCATTTGTCTGGATCAAACATTCTCTGCAGATAATCGCATTTGAGAATATCAGATACACACGTTACTATGACTAAATCCTTCTCTGAGATTTACCTGCACCCCGTGTCCTGATCACCTCTCTGCACCCCAAGTTTCCATTATCCCTCTGTGTTCTGGTCCTTCTCCATGCAATCCAGCTTTGCCCCTGTGTCTCCAGTGACCCCCCCCGAGCCCCTGTGTCTCCAGTGACCCCTGCTGTCCTGTGTCTCCGGGGACCCCTGCTGTCCTGTGTCTCTGGGGACCCCTGCTGTCCTGTGTCTCTGGGGACCCCTGCTGTCCTGTGTCTCTGGGGACCCCTGCTGTCCTGTGTCTCTGGGGACCCCTGCTGTCCTGTGTCTCTGGGGACCCCTGCACTTCGGTGTGTTCCTGTGTGCTCCAGGGACCCCTGCACTCCTGTGTCTCCAATGGGGACCCCTGCACTTCTGTGTGTCCAGTGATACCTGCATCTACAGTGACCTCTGCACTCCTGTGTCTCCAATGACTCCTGGGACCCCTGCACTTCTGTGTCTGCAGTGACTCCTGGGACCCCTGTGCTTCTGTCCTCTCCAGTGACCTCCAGAGCATTTTGTCTTATGCACTGACCCCAAAGTTTCCTGTGTGTTCAATGACTCCTGTGACCCCTGTGCTCCTGTGTCCACAGTGACCCCAGTGTCTCTTCAATTACTCCTGTGACCCCAGTGCTCCTGTGTCTCTAATTACTCCTGTGACCCCTGTGCTCCTGTGTCTTTAATTACCTGTGACCCCAGTGTCTCTAATTACTCCTGTGACCCCAGTGTCCTGTGTCTCTCATTACTCCTGTGACCCCCAGTGCTCCTGTGTCTCTAATTACTCCTGTGACCCCAGTGACCCTGTGTCTCTAATTACTCCTGGGACCCCTGTGCTCCTGTGTCTTTAATTACTCCTGTGACCCCTGTGTCTTTAATTACTCCTGTGACCCCAGTGCTCCTGTGTCTCTAATTACTCCTGTGACCCCAGTGTCTCTAATTACTCCTGTGACCCCAGTGCTCCTGTGTCTCTAATTACTCCTGTGACCCCAGTGCTCCTGTGTCTCTAATTACTCCTGTGACCCTGTGTCTTTAATTACTTCTGTGTCCCCTGTGCTCCTGTGTCTAATTCTTGTGTCTTCAGTGACCCCTGCACTCCTGTGTCTGTAATTACTCCTGTGTCCCCAGTTACCCCTGTGTCTCTATTTATGCCTGTGTCCCCAGTGACCCCTGTGTCTCTTAATTACTCCTGTGACCCCTGTGTCTCTCATTAGGTCCTGTGACCCCTGTGCTCCTGTGTCTCTAATTGCTCCTGCATCCCCAGTGACCCTGTGTGCTCTGTGTCCAGTATCCCCTGTGTCTTTAATTACTCCTGTGTCCTAAGTGACCCCTGTGTCTAATTGCTCTGCGTCCCCAGTGACCCTTGTGCTCCTGTGTCCAATATCTCCTGTGTCTTTAATGACTCTTGTGTCTCCAGTGTCCCCAGTGACCCCTGTGTCTAATTACTCTTGTGACCCCTGTGCTCCTGTGTCTCCAATTACTCCTGTGTCTCCAATGACTTTTGTGTCTCCAGTGTCCCCAATGACCCCTGTGTCCCCAGTGACCCCTGTGCTCCTGTGTTTCCATTGACTTGTGTCTCCAGTGACTCCTGTGCTCCTGTGATTCCGGCATCTCCATGACCCTTCACTTCTGTGTCTCCCGTGACAACTGTGTATCCAGGAATCTGCTCCTGTCCTCACCAGTCACCCCAGAACCATCCCATGTCACCCAGGCCCCCCTGTCTCACGCACTGACCCCTGAGTATCCCGTGTCTCTATGCAGCTGCGGGTTCACTTCTGAATTTCCTGGACTCTCTCATAGCTACAGACCCCTCTGTGACAATATCAACAGAAGTGATCGCTTCATGTACTGAGCAATTACAGTCCTAAAGATGGAGATGTGATTGTTAAGTCGATCTTTAGTGGGCTTTTCCTAACTTAAAGAAGAACTCCAGTTAAAAAATAAAACAGCACTTCTGCTGCAATATTCTCCTTTAATATGGAGCTGTCCCGTGCAGTACTTATTCCCACCATTAGGCGTCCTCCGTTCTCCAGGTTGTAGAACAACCAGTATCTTTTAACCCACTTGAGCCGAGGTTGTCATGGACCTGACCCCTAGGAGAACCCCATCACCGAGAACCACTGCATCGAACAACACGTAAGGTGGGAATACACGACTAGAAAATCGACCGATCAGTCATTCCAACGACCAAGAGGCGTTCGTTTGTTGGTTGAAATCGTGGCCCACATTAACCAATCTAAAAAAATCATTCGTCGGGCAATACGTAGTGTTGACGTCTTCCGTACAAGTGGAAGTCATGCAGCATGCGTGTGACCTTGTAGCCACGCCCTCCTGGCCAGAACGAGCGATATACACAATTACCAGCAATGAGTACAATATTGTTTATTACATAACCTATATACAGTTGTGTTCAAAATAATAGCCGTCAGACATCACTAACTGGATCAATCTCTGTTTTTGGTGGAAATGATATTTCTACATGGCAAATAATTTCCTAGCAGGTGTAGTAGAGTCATACAAATCCAACAGACCCAACAGTCATGACATGCATGCTGCTGATTCTGTGTCATTGAATCACTCATTGAAAGGGGCGTGTTCAAAATAATAGCCGTGTGGAGTTCTATTAGTGAGGTCATTCATTCTTTGAAAAACAGGTGGCAATTATTGCCCTTATTTAAGGAAGGAAGGCAGCAAATGTTGGACATGCTGGTTACAGTGCATTTCTCTCTGAAATTCTGAGGAAAATGGGTCGTTCCAGACATTGTTCAGAAGAACAGTGTACCTTGATTAAAAAGTTGATTGGAGGGGAAAACATATAAAGAAGTGCAGAAAATGATCGGCTGCTCAGCTAAAATGATGGCAAATGCTTAAATGGCAACCAAAACCTGAAAGACGTGGAAGAAAGTGAAAAACTACCATTGGAATGGATAGAAGAATAGCCAAAATGGGGCGGACTCAGCCAACAATCAGCTCCAGGAAGATGAAAGAAGGTGTGACGTTCCCTGTGAGGACTCAGCCAACAATCAGCTCCAGGAAGATGAAAAAGAAGGTGTGACGTTCCCTGTGAGGACTGTTACAATTAGAAGACGCCGATGTGAAGCCAAGCTATCTGCAAGAAGTCCCTGCAAAGTCCCACTGTTGGGAAAAAGACGTGCTGAAGAGGTTACAATCTGCCAAAGAGCACATTGACTGGCCTAAAGAGAAATGGCGCAACATTTTGTGGACTGATGAAAGTAAGATTGTTCTTTTTGGGTCTAGTGGGCGGAGACAGTTTGTCAGACGCCCCCCAAACACTGAATTCAAGCCACAGTACACTGTGAAGACTGTGAAGCATGGTGGTGCAAGCATCATGATATGGGGATGTTTCTCATACTACGGTGTTGGGCCTATTTATCGCATACCAGGGATCATGGATCAGTTTGAATCCATCAGAATACTTGAAGAGGTCATGCTGCCTTATGCTGAAGAGGAAATGCCCTTGAAAT